GGGAAATATTGACTCTCCTGGTTTTCTTCATCTTACATGACTTTTTCACCATAAAGTTTGATGCATTAAGTGTCACCATTTATAAAGAGAATTACAAACAGAGCAGGAATATCCATAGGAATCACTCAAAATGTCTAACTGGAAAAATTGCTTGATAAAATAGTTCTTTGGAAGAAGTTTTTCTCATGTTTTTTATATTTTTCTCAAAGATAGTTTATTAAAAATGGCTACTAAAGTGTTGACTGAAGGGAAGGGAGGAATTCGAGAGTAGTGAATGGCAGGGATGGAAGGTGCAATAGTAGAGCAAGTCAGGATTACCGAGCTTGGCAGGATCTTCTCCTCATGGTTTTAGTCCTCAAAGACTAAAGGACAGAGGGAATCAATCTGCTCTGGTGTTAAGATGGGGGTTCTCACAGATAGCGCGCAAAGGTGCTATGTCTGAGTGCACTAGTGCAAAGTTTTCAGGAAGAATGGGGAGTTAATATGCATAGCACCTTAATTACTTCCATACTAAGGAAAAAGAGTTTAAGTTGAATACCGTTTTCTAAAAAATTTAAGCATAAATTGATTTGAAATTTTAGAGAAGTAAATACACTTTTTAGGTGAAAGAAATTTTAACCCAAGCCTCTTAAGTTATAGAAGAGAATTACATACACTCTATACTTTTTAGGGTTTTTCATAATTTGCCATTGATTCTATTCCCATTCCTATTATAATATTCTAAAGCTTTGCCTAACTGGGAATGATTTAAAACAGCCTAACTTGAACATATTTTTACTGATTCTCTTTTACTTACATTATTAATTTGAAAGTATTGTGCTGGAATTTTCCAGGTAAATATAGGGTATCCCAAAAAAATGTATACATACACTCTGAATAATTATAAAGACAGGGTTTATTTTTTAATTTAATCTAATTTTTAAAAATCTTTATTGTTGAGTATAACAGATGTCCATCCCCTCACCCCTCTCCCCCTCATTACCTTCCTCCACCTGGATCCCTACCCCAGACCCCTTCACCACCCTATTGTCTGTATCCATGGGTAATGCATATATGAATATAAGTTCTTCGGTTAATTTCTTCCCATCCCACCCCCTCTTCTCTCTGAGATTCTACAGTCTGTTCTGTGTTTCCATGCCTCTGGTTCTATTTTATTCAAATCAGTTTATTTTGTTCATTAGATTCCTTGTTTATTTTAATTTTTAGGTTTCAATTGTTGATAAATATGTATTTATTGCCATTTTATTGTTCATATCTTTTATCCTTTTTTATTTTTCTCTTCTTATTGAGAATACCCTTCAACAATTAATGTAATACTGGTTTGAGGTTCCCTGGTGATCTGGTGGTTAGGATTCAGTGCTCTCATGTAATATTGGTTTGGTGGTGATGAACTCCTTAGCTTTTTTTTTTGTCTGTGAAGTTCTGACCTTCAATTCTAAATGATAGCTTTGCTGGGTAGAGTAATCTTGGTTGTAGTTCCTTGGCTTTCATTACTTTGAATATTTCTTGCTATTCCCTTCTGGCCTGCAAAGTTTCTGTTGAGAAATCAGCTGACATTTGTATGGGTGCTCCTTGTAGGTAATTAACTGCTTTTCTCTTGCTGCTTTTTCAGATTCTTTCTTGTCTTTAACCTTTGGCATTTTAATTATCATGTGTTTTGGTATAGGCCTCTTTGGTTCCTCTTGTGTGGAACCCTCTGCACTTCCTGGACTTGTAATTCTATTTCTTTTACCAGATGGGAAGTTTTCTGTCATTATTTCTTCATACAGATTTTTAACTTCTTTCTCCCTCACTTCTCCTTCCAGCACCGCCATGATGTGAATGTTGGTATGCTTGAAGTTGTCCCAGAGGCTCCTTACACTGTCTTCATATTTTTGGATTCTTTTTTCTTTTTGATCTTCTGATTGGGTGTTTTTTGATTCCTAAATTCTAAATCACTGATTTGATTCTCAGTGTCCTCTACTCTACTGTTGGTTTCCTGTGAGTTATTCTTTATTTCAGTTAGTGTATCCTTCATTTCTGACTGGTCCTTTTATGTTGTTGATGTTTTCACTAATTTCCTTAATTCTCACTATGTTTGTTGAGCATCCTTATAACTATTGTTTTGAACTCTGTATCTAGTAATTTGCTTGCTCCCATTTCATTTAGTTATTTTTCTGGGGATTTCTTCTGTTCTTTCATTTGTGACATGTTTCTTTGTCTTCACATTTTGGCTGCTTCCCTGTGTTTGTTGCTATGTTTTAGGTAGAGCTGCTGTGTCTTCTGAAATTGGTAGAGTGGCCTAATGTAGTGCGTGTTCTGTAGGGCCCAGGGGCTCAGCCTCTCCAGTCACCTGAGCTGGGCATTCTGGGAGTGCCCCTATGTGCACTGGCTTGTTGTAGTTGAGCCTTGATTGTTGTTAGCATCACTGGGAGGACTTGACCCCCAGGCCAATTAGCTTTGAGGACCAGCTGTAACTACAGGTGAAGAGCTGCTATGTAGGAGCTGACCCCATGGAGCAGGACTTGCTCCAGTGGGGCTTTGGTGCTCACCGATTCCATCCCTGGAGTGTGTTGCTAGTGGATGTGGTAGAGTAGTAATCGGCTATGGCAGTGGTCGGCAAACTCACTAGTCAACAGAGCCAAATATCAACAGTACAATGATTGAAATTTCTTTTGAGAACCAAATTTTTTAAACTTAAACTATATAGGTAGGTACATTGTTATTAACTTAATTAGGGTACTCCTAAGCTGGCCTTTGCTGAAAACGTCCTAAATCTGATTGAGATACATTGGCTGAGGTCGACTCCTTCTAACTCTCCCATCCACACTCGTCTTGTATACTTGTTTCATCTATCTCCTTTCGGAAAACCGACTTCTGCGCATGGGCCATGAAGTTTCAGTCTCACTGTACGTGCACACCCGCATGTGGTATTTTGTGGAAGAGCGACGCTCAAGGGGCCAAAGAGCCACAGTTTGCCGACCACTGGGCTATGGTATGAAGCGGTTCACCAGGTGCTCTTGCTCTGCGGCCTCCCGGGAAGTACAAAGTCAGCCACTGCCTGTGCCTTGCCAGGGGCCACCCAGCACCAGCTACAGAGTGATCTGAAGATGGCAGCTACTTGTATTGGGCTTGGAGGTGCCCAGGAGACGCCAAGCTGTGAACCTTGGCAAGGTGCTGCAAGTGCCAGGTCTGGGGCCAGTTATCTAGAGGTATGGGGCATGCTGAGTTCAGCTCCTACTTGTTTGAGAGCTTTTAGGAAAGCCTGAAGCCTGATCCAGGATGGGCCATTCATATGAAAAAGACACTGCAAACAGCTTGGGTGGGGCTGCAAATAGTGTGGGCCAGGTTGATGGAGACTCAAATATGGTGCCTGCGAGTCAGCTCTGGGAAATGGAGGAGGGTCTCGGCAGAGGAACAATGACCTCTCTGCCAGCACTTCCGTCTGGAAGAAAGTTGCCCCCGACTCCCCCCCAACCCCCGTTTCCGCCCTGATGTCAGATAATTTTGTTCCTCCCTGTATGTCCCTCGATCCAGTGCTGGAGCTCAGAGGGAGTGAATCTTAAGTTAGGTCTGTGCACGAGCACTTTAAGAGGAACTGCCTGGGTCTCTGGCTGCCTCTGTGTCACTCAACTACAGTCCCTGCTGGCTTTTACAGCCCAAACTTACAGGACTTCTCTTACCAGCTCTGGAACCCTGGGCTAGGGGTCTGGTATGGGGCAGACACACCTTCCTTGCTCCTCAGGGGAGGCCTTCTCAGCCAAGCTATCCCTTCCGATGAAAAACACGCCACATGTGGGTGTCAGACCAGCCATTCCACCCCTCCACCCCTCCTACCAGTCTCAATTCTTTAATTCTCTAATTGTAAGGCTTTCATTCAGCCAGATTTCAGGCAGTTCTGAATAATGGTTGCTCTGTTGCCAGCACTTCCGTCTGGAAGAAAGTTGCCCCCGACTCCCCCCCAACCCCCGTTTCCGCCCTGATGTCAGATAATTTTGTTCCTCCCTGTATGTCCCTCGATCCAGTGCTGGAGCTCAGAGGGAGTGAATCTCCCAGCACTGGAGCCCAGAGGGAGTGAGTCCAAGTAAGTGTGTGTACTGGCCCTTTAAACAGAACTGCCTGGAACTCCAGCGCCTCCATATCGCTCAGCCACAATCCCCACTGGCTTTTACAACTTGAAGATAAGGGACTTCTCTTCCCAGCACTGGAACCCTGGGCTGAGGGATCTGGTGTGGGGCTGGCACCTCTTGCTCCTCACAGGAGGCCGCTGCAGCTGAGATATTCCTCCGGATAAAAAAAACCACAGGTGGGTGTTGGACCAGCCCGTTCTGCGACTTTGCCCCTCCTACTAGTTTCACTGTGGCTTCTTCTTTACTTCTCTAGTTGTGGGTTTTCTGTTCAGCCAGATTTCAGGCGGTTCTGAATGATGGTTGTTCTGTGGTTTAGTTGTAATTTTGATGTGGTTATGGGAGGATGCAAGTACCGTGTTTATTATACCACTATCTTGATTCCTCTATAAGGCAGTGTTTATTAAAATACATTTCAATTTCAAAATTGAGCTATCAGTCTGACTAGTGTGGCTAAGTGGTTGAGCACTGGCCTATGAACCAGGAGGTCACAGTTCGATTCCTGGTCAGGGCACATGCTCAGGTTGTGGACTCCATCCCCAGTAGCGGGTGTGCAGGAGGCAGCCGATCAATGCTACCTTCTCATTGCTGTTTCTGTCTTTGTCTCCTTCTCCCTTTCTCCCCCAAATCAATAAGTATATATTTTTAAATATGTCATTTAAAAAAAATTGAGCTATCAGCTAGCTATTAAAGTGTGAATACATTTTTTGGGACACCCTGTATATGTCTGAAATTTAACAATTTGAATTGTTCCTTGTCATTCTGTGTAAATAATGATTAAAGATAATTACTCTTTCTCCAGTATGTATTTCTTGTATTGTTTTTAGTATTTATTAATCTTGAGGTTTGGCTTAAATTTTATATTTTTAAATCTTTTTTTTTCTTTCTTTCTAGTTTTGGCAAGCGTTCTGCAGGAAGCTTTAGGCGTGGCTGTGAATGCATTGTTTTAGAGCCTTCTGAAATGATTGTGGTAAGACTACTCCTTAAGACATTCTTTCCCCCTTAAAAAAGTTATACAATTAAAGTACTTTCACAAACTACTGATAATAGTGTATTACATATTTTATAAGTGTGGATTTATTTATTGTATAACTTATAAATTTGAGTTCATAATCATAATTAATTATAGGATTCGATTAAATGAAAAAGATAGAAAGTTTAAAGGGCACACATGCCTAAATAATTGCTGCTTGAACTTTGTAAATCAATTTATGATAATACCATGCAATTAAAATTTGGGGAGAATTTTTGAATTACAGGATTTTAGCTCTCCAAGTATTGATCAAAGTGAGTGAGATACTTAAAATGAATCACAGTGATATGTATTCAGACAACAATTACCATAAGGAAATCAGTTCAATTTTTCAAACTAATTGAAATAAAAATGGGGTACTAGTTTGCTGGTTAAACAGTCTATCAAAATCTTTATCTCTTATTAGCTGAACTGTGTGATTTAAAAACTATATTTAGATAAGTCATATACATAATAATAATGCTAAATAGATATTAGTAATGTCTTTTAAAAATATTTTTTATTGATTTCTTAGCAAGGGAGAGGGGGAGAGGGAGAAACATCGAAGTGAGAGCAGATCATTGATTGCCTGCCTCTTGCACACTCCCTACCCAGGATTGAGCCTGCAACCCAGGCATGTGCCCTGACCAGGAATCGAACCAGCAACTTTGTGGTAAATGGGACAACACCCAACCAACTGAACTAGGCTGGCCAGGGCAGCAACATTTTTTGATGCTTTACAAAACACCTGTCACATTCTTCTTTACTATATAAAAGTGATTTTAAAGTAGCATATTATGTATCCCTTTTTTTAAAAAATCAGCAACTAGAATAGGATATGGAAGGAACTCTCAGTGTAGACATTCAGTTGACATGATAATCCTATTATTCCTCATCCAGCATCCTTCACCAGGAAAACCTGATAAGGTAAATGGTGGCCTAATATAGATTATGATGGAAGTTTTTAATTCACATTTAATAAAGTATTTTGTAGACTACCACTCTATTTTTAGAGACAATAATAGGGTTTTTCTCTATGATGCAGGAAAATTCCAGCAGAAATGAGAACTTCCTTGTCAAAGCTAGTGAACACTTTTGGTAAAATTTCGCAAAATTTACTCTTAAGGGAGAAAGTGGCATGGTGGTGACTAAAGATTTAGGATTGAAAAAAAAATGTAGGCAGATAAATAGAACCTTGCTGGAACAGATCTTGAAAAGATTTTAGATACTTCCTAGAAATTTTGACCTCCATTAGTGCTATTTTGGGATTTCTCTGAAGGCTTTTTGAGCTTCAACATTTCCTTGAGAATTTTATACTTGCTGATAGTATACAAACTACCAGGGTCGCCAGTGTGAGAACAGCTTTAGCATCGAAATATGCCTCTATAGTAAGTAATCACATTTCATTGTATCAATATGATGAGGATTAACTTAATGTAGTATATTCTCTATTAGTCCATTCACCAGAGTTTCTGAAATGTTTGAAATGAGGATTTTTCTTAAACAACACTATTTATAAAAAAAGAAACTGAATCCACAGAATGAAAGTAGGAAGAGGAACCCTTAGGGAATCTACCAAAGCCATTCTGCTAGCAGTCCTGTTTCAGTCATTTTGGAATTGGGTTTTTTTTACAGATTTCCTCATATCCATCAGCGTTTTTGTGCTTTAGTTGACAATGGGGCAGTTGCTTTCATAATGTGTGGTAATATATCCTGTGAGTCCTTCCACTACTAGATCAGTACAAAGACTAACTGAAAATATCTTTCCTTTTCAAAGCACAGGAAATTCAAGAATTACCCATATTGTCCCTAAGTGGAACTGAAAATGCCTCTTTGTAAAAGAAAAGTTACTCAAAACCGATCCGTTCCAGTGACGTTCCAAAACACTTAAGAATCTGTTTAGATAGTTTGGCTACAAATGTCTTTGCAAAATGAATGAATGCGGACTACTTGTACGTTTTATTCTGCATTTCATCTTGATTTAGAATATCATGTTTGAAGAAATGAAATGTTTTTGGCTTTTTTTTCTTCAGGTGGACTATATGGATGAAAATGAAGAATATTTCCAGCGTCAGGCTTCTCATCGACAGTCTCGGAGGAGATTTAGAAAAATTAACCAGAAAGGTGAACGGCAAACAATTATTGACACTGTGGATCCTTATCCTGTGGGCAAACCGCCGCTGCCTAGAGGCTATCATACGGTAAGTTACACATGTGTGACATATTTATTTATCTTTTGTTTTTTTTGGAGTTTTGTGCAAAGACATTTAAACTTTCTATTTTTGATGAATAATTCTATACTTACTCAAATTGCAGTTTTTCTGGCAACACACATCATATGAATAGTTTTAAAGAGCATTGAAATAAGACATCAAAAGACATTGTTTAGCCTTTTTATTTCTGAAAATGTTCTCTGAGATCAGTTTTGTGATCAGCATGTATAATTGTGACTGGGATATTTTAAGTTCTTAATCTAAAATTTTAGCCATCCCCCATCTTAATGACTGCTATCATATCTGTTTTTTATTCAAAAATTGTCTATAGAAAGATGATCTAAAGTATTTCTAATAGGTTCCAAAGATCCTCTTAAATGCTTAATTATCATTGATTTGTAAATATTTGATAAGGAAGCTATTTTTTGTTTGAGGAAACCAAGACACAGATGAGTGGTTTGTACTAGACCCCAATAGAGGCAATTTTAGAACCTTTTTAAAGTTTTTATTTAATTTTTACTGCCTGGCTGTACTATGCCATATTTCTCCTGACAGCCAATCCAAAATAGTTGCAAATATACTTGAGGATTTCTATTTTCAAAAAGAAAATAGCTTGAATTCTTATATATATCATAATATGGCCAAAGATATGTTATCTATATATGTAATACCATTAAATGAGTAGTCATTTATATTAATTTTAAAATAGAAATATGAAAAAATAAAAGTAGATAATTGACAACTATGTTACATTTCACCTTTTTCTTTTTACAAAAAATATAAGTGCAAAAGGTGTGGGAAAATGTATATAGAATTAAAATTATATATTTAATTTTTAGTAACTTTAAGTGATATATTTTATACCCGCACTTCATATGTTCTGTTTGTGAGAGCTCTTTGTATTTGAATATTTAAGCACTTTTGATCACCAGCTACCGTTCTACTTCTATCGCTACCCATGTACTATTTTAATTTAACATGAATTTTAGAGTTGAGTCCTTTCATTGAGCTCATTTGGGTTGCTTCCTGCTCATCATAAAGACAGCTTTGTTTGTTGAAAAGACTTGGTATATTAAAAAAAAATTATGAAAGGTTTTTTGTTTCCATTGTCTATAAAAGAAGGTAGTATTTTTTAGTGTTGATGGAACATCATGGAAGAAGGAAATATAGATTAAAAATAGTTGTACATATTAATAGTATAATATATTTTAGCCATGTACTAATATTAATATTATTCTTTCTGCTTTAGAATTATTTTTCCATATCAGATTCCATACTAAGATAGTTAGTGGGAGTATCAATTAATTAAAATCTAGTGTTAAGCCTGATTGGTTTAAAAATTTTTAAGTATGTTCTTATTGATTTTAGAGAGATTAGAGAGAGGAAGGGGGGAGAGAGAGAGAGAGAGAGAGAGAGAGAGAGAGAGAGAACATTGATGAGAAAGAAACATTGGGCAGCTGCCTCCTGCACACCCCTACTGGGAACAGACCCGGAAACCCAGGCCTGTGCCCAGACCGGGAATCTAACTGGTGACCTCCTGGTGCTTGGGGTGATGCTCAGTCCACTGAGCCACACCAGCAGGGCCTGATTCAATCACTTTCCCTTTATCACTGCCATATTTTCAACTAATTTTTAAAAATGTGTAGTGTTGGTTTTTTTAAATTATAAGATTAATTTTTTAAAGTTATTCTGATTTAAAAAATGTTGTACCTGGTCAACAGGTATTTCTGTAAGAGAAAATTTGTGCTAGAATGAAACATTTAACTTGATTGCTAATGGATCATGTACTTGTTTACTAATATGTGAAATGTTGGTATTAATTTTACTAAATGAGTTCAGGTTGGCCACAACATGGCTTTAATTGAAAATATTGGACCCTGTGGTTTTTGTGTGTGTGCGTATGTGTGCAAATTGTGTTTTAATTATATTTATATAATTATTGTTTTGCCAAATATATTTTAACTTAGGGAAGCAACTTTGTATATATGATACCACAAAATAAAAAGAATAAAGTAAAATAATTATTCTTTATTAGCTCTAAGTCATATTTACTTATTCTTAACAGAAATATTTCTCTCTGAGAGAACCCTGGTAGGGTAGGACTGAGGGTGCAAAGCTTATTTAGAGGATGCATGATCATACTTCATAGGTGGTTTTTAATGATTGCAAGTGCATTTCAAGTGCATGGCTGAAGAACAGAGAGGATGTTATACATGTAGCCAATTCTATATGGTCATTCTTAACCTAATATTAACATTATCTTCATTTTGGCAGATGTACTATAGCATGTCTGATAATGTTCATCTTTTCCTTTCCTCCTCTATGGCACTCATTTCATTTTGGCTCAAAGGAATGCACTAAATCTCAGGTATTGTAATTTGTGTGTGGTCTCCTAACACTAACCTAATTTTATTTGTAAATTCGCACTGTAAATAATGAGTTTATAACATTGATATGTTTTGCTTAGTCTCATTCTTTTGTATTTTGCCCTAAATTAGTAAAATCTCTTAAAAATCTGAAACTATCAGTGGCTTAGGTGATGGCACAGGCTGCATTATTTGTGCAGATCTGGGGATGAATTGCCCTCTTTCTTTAAAGAAAGAATAAAAATGCAACCTACTTATTTTTAAGAATGAGTGGAGCACTGTTCTTCACCAACCCTCTACAAATAAAAACATGAAGAGAGCAAGACAGACAGACAGACAGACATAATAGATGTTTATTTGTTTTTTTGTGTGAAAGCTTAGGTAAAATTTCCTTAGAAATTTATTTTAAATGTTATAAATGAAAGCTTTAAATTTTGGGAATCCTGATATGAGAGCATTTTGAGAGACCAATGGTAAAATGACAGTCAGACAGAATAAAGGCTGAGTCAAAAGGGAAATAAGAATTTAAAATTGCTTATGTTTTCTTTCTTACACTTTATTTTTAACCAGATTTCATGCTTTTATTTCATTCTGTATCTTAATCAAGAGGCCTATAATAATACCTTTGCTCATTTTCACACCAGTACATGATTAATTTATGATTTTCAGTGATACTCTTTTGAAATTGTGGGTCAAATTTGGATTTATCAGGAAATTTGG